CAAGTATATCAAATGATGACTTTACACATGCAAATACATGCAAATACTCAAAATATCTGGGCATCAACGTGTATGTTACAAAACTCTGCCATTAGTTTTCATGGTGATTGTTTGCGGCAACACACCGATTCCTGTGCTGCCCGATAATTTGGTGATGCTGTTGAAGGCGAACCATACATTATTTTGTGAAAATGTAAAGGTGAAGGTATGATTGTCTAAGTCTGTGTGTATCTGAATTCTGTATCCTAGTCCAGAATCCTAAATGCGTAAACCTGTCAACCTCTTTAAATGACTATTATGCATATACCAGGCAGGACCACGACGACACGGCCCTTCAGCACATCCTCACGTTCCCACGACTATACACTACACATCTCTTCACCACAGCAGACACTCTGTACCTCCTCATCGTATGGATAATTACCACGTCTTTTCAGGTAGGTACCATACCTTTGATTTTGCAAGGAACACATACGCACACACACACACACAACTGTGTGTATGATTTTACCAATATAGTAGTACAGGCACATGTGTATTAATAGTGCTGAATGCAGTATATTCTCTATTCATCGTATGCACGGGAAAAGCGTTTTTGAAGGTGTGTACCCTCGGCGACACCTGATTACGTCTGTGCATGACCATGTACTTATGTCTGATATTCTAGGAAAGTATTATACCGAATAAAATTATAATCTAAATAAAGTAATTCATCCTCTTCTCAACAATAGCATCACTGTTCCTACTGTTCACTAGGAGCGGTTTGTACTTAAATCGTCGGGTGCACTACCACCACGTCCTTCCATTTCCGTATTCGGGTGAACCACGTTTTTATATATGTAAGATATCAGTATACACATCCATACACCTGACGTTCGAGATATTATTATACCATCTTAGTACAAGCACACATGTATGTGTATGTCGTTTCATCTGACCTTAGACACAGTGAACTTATACATATACATTAGTAGATAACGAATTAATGCATATGCATTAATCAACACAATGAACTCATACTTGTATATTCAATAAATACGGTGAACTAATACATATACTGCATTATTTATAGTAAACTATTACATATGTACCAATCAACATAATGAACATTCCACTATTACATATACATTAGTAGACACAGTATATGTATCAATCAACACAATGAACATTCCACTAGTAGATATACACTAATAGACAAATACATACGTATTAATCAACACAACGAACTCGCACTCATACATTTTCATTGATAAATACATTGAACAAATACATATACTGAAATATACATAGTCAACTGATCATATGCATAAATCAACACAATGAACTCGTACTCACTTATGTGCATAAATGAACGCATTGAACTAATACATATACTGTAATATACATCGTGAACTATCACGAGTTCATTACTCAACACAATGAACTCGTACTCACTTATGTGCATAAATGAACACATTGGACTAATACATATACTGTAATATACATCGTGAACTATTACGAGTTCATTACTCAACACAATGAACTCGTACTCACTTATGTGCATTATTAATGAACACAAACACAGTGGGTGCTGTACACGTGGCTACCCACAGTGACCCCATACCCCGAGGAGCTAAAGTATAAAATGCTGCAGATGTTCTTCACTACCATCAGTACTCGCACAGCCGGCTTCAATTGTATTGATCTGAATATCCTTAATTCGGGAATCCTGGTTCTGCAGGTATGTTTCAATCATAATATACACACCCAAACACGTGCACACACAGATACACACTCACTCACACACACACGCACACACACACACACACACATA